AACAAATTATTTTCATATAGTATTAGAACTATAACTTCTCTATTTAATAGAATTTTGTCTATAAGTTGTCAAATTCCTTAATATAAACTATTCGTTTATATTATTTATATCACCATAGTTATATTGATTGTTAATATAATTTGCTTTTTTCTTATAGTAATGGCATGATATTAGTGCCAAAATATATTCACATACTTTTCGTGCTACAGGAATATCACATGAAATTAAAATCAAAGCAGTCCAAATTATTTTTTCATTCTTATTTTTGATAGTAGAATCTAATATTACTTCTTGCTATAATTGTAACAATTCATTTACAATTGATAAAAAGTAATGATTTATTTGATACAAACTTGATTTACTAGGGCCTGGTAATATATCAAAAATCAGTATATTTTTATACTTAAACTGTATTTCATATGGTAAATTAGCGATTGTCACATATATAACACCAATACTATATGTTTGTTATTATATGATTGAAATCAATCAATATTTAGTACCAATCTTAAGTATGAATTTGCCTTTTCTTTGCTAAAAAATAATTCTGAATTTTTATTTTCAAAGGTTTTTCAAATATTGCCATTATAAATATCACAAAGATATTTATCAAAATTTGACTGATTTGTCCAATACTGAAGACTAAATTTGAAACTTGGATTTTAATACATTTGTACTAATTAGTATTGAATAGTAATATAAGAAAAAATTAATTCTGACCAATTGATTATGTTTTCATTTAACAATTTTGATTGTGTGAATAATTAAGTGTTACAATATTTTCCTTGAGTTGTGAAGTTTAAAAATTCAATATAAACATATTTTATGATAGATGGCTGATTGTTTTGTTGAAAATTGATTACTTCATTCTGTTTATATAACTTATGACATTTTTGATATGCTACAAAGCTAATAAATTGATCTGACAATCCAAAAAAATTTTTGGTAGTATACAAAAATCCACAGAAAGATTCAAATTCATTATTATCAATTTTAATTAGCACTAATTTCATAAACTTTAGAAGTGCCTCTATTTCATTATCTGATAAATTAAATTTTATTTTAAAGTTCATAATCCATAATAAAATTCATATAAATTGGCTATTAGTATCGATAAATTTATTTGATTCTGGTAATTCAGAATCTAAAAAATCTAATATCAATTAATTTTTAAATAGGTTATTTAATTTATCAAAAGTTATACTATTATCTTTAGTAATATCATTATTAAAATATTGACATCAAGAATATTGGCATTAAAAATATTGACTTCAAAACTATTATGATCTTGTATTAGGTTTTTCTGATCATCACCTAAAGACATAATTTGATTTTGCTAAATATTTCTTATTTTGGATTGAAATATAAATTCTTGTTTTTTTATAACTTTTTTTTTGGATTTCCAATATCTATAAGAAAATTCAGTTTGAACATCAACAAATAATCTATTATATTTGTCACAATTGTAGGGAATTTTTGTTTTAGACTCTTTTCTTGAAATTTCATTAAGTAAAGCTGAAATTGAATGCTTTCTTGACATTTAAAATAACTAAAAATGAAAAAGTTGTTTAAATTTTATATTGCCGAACTATGATGCAATAAAAGTATAATATAATACAAATATAATATAATACAAATATATTATATTATATAAAAAGCAAATAGTCAACAAATCATATAATATATTAAAAATATAATTTTATAATACAAATAATTTTATATAAATATTTCTTTTTTTAATGAAATCTAAAATCAAAAATATCCAAACAAGTAAAAAAAACTTCAGAAAAAAATCCTATAGAGAACAGTTTTTGTCATCTTTTCAGTCTTCTTAACCTTCGCAATCTTCACAATCTTTGCAATCTTCACAATCTTTACAACCTTCATAATCTTCACAATCTTTGCCATCTTCGTAACCTTTGCAATCACAGCAACCTTCGTGATCATAGCAATCTTCATGATTACAACAATCTTTGCAATCATGACAATCTTTATGATCATGGCAACCTTTATAATCACAGCAACCTTTGCGATTACAGCAACTTTTGCGATTACAGTAACCTTTGTGATTACAACAATTTTTGTGATCACAGCAACCTTTGCGATCACAGCAACCTTCATGATCATGGCAATCTTTGCGATTACAAAAACCTTTGCAATCACAACAATCTTTACAATCATAGCAACCTTCATAATCACAGCAACCTTCGCAATTATAGCAATTTTCGCATTTATAGCAATCTTCAGAATCTTTTCAAGTTTCATTAAAAGTTCAGGAAGTAAGACCTCGTTCAGTATCATATAGTATAGAATCTCCATTAATTTACACTTCAGTATAGTAATTGATTGAAAGAAGATTATTATCATTATCATCTGTCCATTTCTCACTAGCATGGAAAGCTAATATAATAATCAAAAAAGTAATACCAAATTATTAAATAAATCATACCTTTACTAATCAACCAATTTATTTAGAGGATCAAATTAAAAATTTGCAAACAAAAATTAAAGAGCTAAAAAAAATAAATATTGAATTAGAAAACAAAATCAATGCTCTAGAAGATCAAATAAAATCTTTAGAATATATAAATGGAGAGTTTGCCATCCAAGAGAAAAAATTCAAGAAAAAAATAGCATATTTAGAAAATCAACTCCAAATCAGGATCTGATTGTTGTGATATCTCTGAGATTTGGATTATTTGCGGAATCCATATCACCTGGAATATTTGCAATACCAATAGAAGTTTCAAGTACTGAAGATTTTAAAAATACTGATATCAAAGATTTTGAAAATACTGATGCCGAAGATTATAAAAATGCCAAAGATTATAAAAGTATTGAATATTGGTTAAGTCTATAAGAACAAAGGTTTCAATTAGTTAGAGATATAAAGGATAAGAGCAAAGCAGTTTATAAGTCAGATCCAAAAAAAACAAGAGAAGAAATGAAATATATTGTAAAGACACTTTTTGACATTATAAACTAAGAATAGATGAAGTTTTTTTGAATTCTAAAAATAAAAAAATATTAGTCAAGTTAATACTCAAATTATTGAGATTAATGACTTCAAACTTTAACCTCTTATGAAGACAACTATATAACTAGTTAGGTGTCTTATATTATTACTAAAAAGAAAGGTACCTAAAATCAAAATTAGGAAAATTAAAGGCAAACTATAGATATTTGTATGTGAACAGTTGGTTAAGTGATGTAAGAACATTAGGCTTATATATATATATTATTTTATATATACTAATTTTTAATGAATAATAAGAAAAGGAATTGAAGAATTAAAAATGTAAAATCATTAATTAGTAAAAAGTCTAAAGAAATTGCAAATATTGAGATGAATTGCTTGATATTTTTAAAAAAATAAAGGTTTATTCACCTGAAGAAAGTAAAATTGATTCAGAAAGTGATAAAAGAAAAGTAGTTATATATAATTATAGTTAGTATTCTCATAAGGTATTTAAATATCATTAAAGTCAAATATTTGTTTGCCAAATATTTATATACCAAATATTTATTTATTATATAGTTAATTAAATTGCTAAAAGAAGTTTTGAACAAATATATAGTAGAAATTCAATATACAAAAATAACTTGTAAGAGAATTTATGAGACTGTAACTTATTATGATATAACATTATCCAAAAATTTGTCAAATTGGGCTTACTATTCGGAAGGAGAAGCTGAAGAATCGGTAGAAAAACATAAAAAATGAAAGGTTGCCAAAGAATTATCAATATATTCAGAAGAGTATCAAACTGGAGAAAATGCAATAATGGGTGAAGTCAGGGAGGCAGTTGCTAAGGCGAAAGCTGCAGAAGGTACAAAAATCAGCAAGAAAAAAATAACCGAAAAAAAAGGAAAAAAAAGGGTACTAAGAAGGTCACCCAGAATAAGATCAATTAAAGGAAAAGAAAAAGAAATAGTAAAAGAGGAAGAGGAGGAAGAAGAGGAAAAAGAAACAGAAGATAACGAATAACTTAGTTTATATGAGCGATTTTTTTGTTATATTCAAATTATATTATTTTATTATATTTTAATAAACTTTTTGTTAATTATAATTATGAATAATTGTTGAATTTTATTAATTATTTTATTTTTAAATAATGAAATTAATTGCTAATATATATGAAAATTCAAATATAAAATATGTTAAATTATAGCTAAGTTATCTATCAAATATTTGTATTTACATTGTCGAATACTATAATGTTATAGTTGAACTATTAACGAATGTTTAACGAATATCTATATTGATTTTTATGCCGAGTGGTACCAAATGGCATAAATTCAACTTAAATTTAATTATAAAAAATTTAAAAATTTGGCAATAATTCGACATGTCAAATGATCAAATTTTGACTAGTGATAGGAATCATATTCCCTTTTTTAATATATTGTTGCATGGATAGAATGTTTGTGACAGCATTAATGGCTTGAATTATACATGTGGTGGAATTGAATTCAACCATTTTTCAAAAACCGTATTATGGTAGAATTACTAAATAACATATAGTAAATAATTGGAATTCGTATTTAATTCGGAATCGTATTGTCGATCAAATTTCCTTTTATGGTAATACGACCACATGTATGGCTTGAATATATTCATTCAAAGAATGAAGCATATTTTTCTGAAGATCAATAAGAATGACATCTTTCATGAAACGGGTACAATGTCTCTCTTGTAACTGGATATCATAACTATATATGATTAGTTCTTCTAATCTTGTATTGTTATCAATTGCACGAAATCCCCAGCGTTAATTATGTGAAAAACCATATACTGTAACTATAAATCTATTTTCTAAATTTATTTTAATAGATTCAGTATCAATCAATTTGGAATTGTATATATTTAGTTATAGGATAGCTTTTTGTGTGATAATTGGATTCATTAAAATTGTTGCAAGATATGTAATATCAGAGGTCATAGTAATATTTGGCACCCATTCTATATGAATATTATGATAGTCATTAATATTTAATACCATTGCCTTTTCTATATGTTGAGTAAGTGTAGCATTAACAAGCCTATAATGTTCTTTAAATGCATCAGACTTATATCGTGTAATTGAACGAGATGTAATGGTTGTACCTAAATCAAAAAGTGTATCTAAAGTAGTGTCAGAAACACCTGTAAAATCTAAATACATAGTTAAATCCTCTTTGTATCATTTACAAACTTGTTTTGAATTCTACAAAGAAAGAAACATATAAATAAAAGCTGCTTTTTCACCCTTATCTGTGAATTCTTATTTTTTGTAGACAGGCTAGATGAAAAATACAATTTATCAAAGAAAGATTTTAATCTTATATTCTCTCCTTCCATAATCTCCCGAAATTCATCAAAAGAATATATCATTGGTTTTTTTTCTCGATTTTCGCGGGTGTACAAAATATCTGTTAAGACTTTTACAACTTGAGAAAAAAAAAGAAAATCATCGGCTTTATTAGCTTCACTAATATCCTCAAACCTGTATTGCTCTTGAGCATGCCGTTGGAATTCAATTGAACTGTTAATTACAATCCCGTTATAACAGTTCATACAGATCACATCATCCACACGAATATAGCTTGGCAACATATTATTAGCTTGACCTTTGGAAAAAACATTTTCAGTTACTTTTCTCCAAATAGTCGATTTTCCTTGACAAATAGTAATAGCATAAGATTTAATAGTGTTAATAGATAACATTTTCGCTTCTAAGTAAAGTACCCTGAGATTTTTGATTATTTTTTCGAAGCAAGAAATAGCTTTTATGACGATTTTTTGTTAGTGAAACGTTACATTCTCGAAAAGTACTTTAAACTGTACAAATAAGTTACCCGGGCAATTGATTTACGCCAGCCAATCATACGAACGATTTTCACTTTGTGGAAAAAAAGAATTCTACCTCTTTCTTTAATAGTCTATCAGTAAATTTTCCAATACTCGAAGGAGTAAATGACCTAATTTGTCGAATATTATACCTTCGGTACTAAAAATCTATTCTTACATTGATATCCTGTACAGGTGGTTTAAATCGTCCGTTGATTGTATACGCGATACTATTCCAAAAATCCACCCTACTACTACCGGGAATGTTATGATACTCGGAACGACTTTTGAAATACATAAAAAAGGCAATCCGAATTTTATATGCTATATAAAACGGAAAATAAATCTTTTACTGGTTAGTAATCTGTGCAATTAAATCTATCATGTATCATTAGCATTTACGTATTCCCAACAATACCCTCTGGCGCTTTTTTGAATTCCTCGACATACATCTCCAATATTATTAATTTTAGTTATGCGTTGTGCTTCAGTTAAGGATTGAAATTCTCGGAAAGATCCATCATCGAAAATCTGCTTGATGACACGTCGACGATGCTTGTTGCTACAAAACCCAAGTTGTACAGCATGTCTAAGAGTTTTCTTTCAGCGTGCACCACTCAAGGTTAGAGGCTTTGTTGTTACTAGTATCTCCATCAATATGATTTACATATTCTTTGCTTTCTTCTTGCGAGCAAAATGCTAAGGCAACAAGTCGATGAAGAGAATAAAGGCGATTTTTGTTACCAACTGAAAGATATCCATTACGTAACGATCCTTGAGTAATATTACCTTTCCTTTCCTTAACCAAATCCTGCCTAATGATGAAACTTTGAACTTTTGAGATTGATATTCAATATCTCTTCATTATTCACTGGGATCGTGTTGTACATGGTCTTCATAAAACGTCCAACACCATCCGCCAACGGTATTTAGCTTTCCTCTACAACATGCCGAAATATTGGTTTCCGAAATCTTGTGTATTACCTGTGAGGCGAATGAAATCTCAAATCTGAACAACATTCCCATCCAATGTCTTTTGTACAACTCGCCTAGAAGTACCGCGACCACGATTCGGAAATGCCTTCCATTCAGCGTTTTCTTTGGGAGTTACCCATTCCAAATTATTAGCTCGATTTTCATGTCTAATACCATCTTATGATTAACATAAGGCTTATTTTCTGGATTAGGAATGAATGTTTGCGCAACTAAAATATGAACATTGGTTTGTGTATGAACACCATTAATCTTTAAGCTTATTTGTATTTAACCGTTCCTTTTATTTGGATTTCGACTTGAGATCATACCTTTTTTATTCTTGAAGCGTCCAAGATTAGATACAAATTTATCTGAATCTGGTAACGGTAACCAATCTTCCATTATGACGCTCGTTATTTATTGTAAACGCATTTTAAATTCGCGATACTCGTAAAAGCTGGCAATGCAAGTGATCATTATCACGACTCTAGCATGACTATACCACATTTCAACTACTCTGGGCTATTTTTCATACAATTGTATAGGAGAAATTATACTGCAAATCTACCGTGACCCAACTGCGACTCTGCTACGACTAAACTGCGATTCAACCACGATGCATATAGATTATATAGGAAATTTCTACTGAGATAAAACCACTACGATAACACTACGAATTAACTGTGAATTATAATAGCCATCGACGGAGTATAATATCAAAAGAAGTATAATTAACAAAATTCATATACTCGGATATGCATGACGAAACCTCGTTAGACGTTTGTCATATGCTTGTAATACACCCGAAATAGATTATGCATTATCCCAAAATGTAGATCCACACACCCGAAATAGATTTCACAGTACACGAGCGATTTATACATAAATATCATCACAAATAGATTGTTTAGAATCAACTCTCTCATTCTCATCGTATACATCACTCGCAAAATATGACGATTATACACAACTCATCTAATAACCCAGGCCCTATGGGGCGCTCTTCGAGCATCCGCACTAAAAATGAATCATATATTTTTATACTATAAAGAACCAAATCTAATAGGTCTAATCTCTAAATACGATATAAATCTCACAATCTATAAAACACATTATAATTAGGTCGTATAAATGGCTAGCTTAAGTGAAAGACGTGGAACCAATTGTACTGATGCTGAATGGGATGAACTTCTGGAGATGCCTCAAGTTCGTAATAATGAAACTTCTAGTGAGTGTATGAAACGGATTTGGCTTCGCTTACAATATATTTCATGATATATTTATGATAATGAGTATGCATTGCATCGATATGGGTTGTGGAACAGAATGCTATCAAAAAGGTTAAACGTGCAAGAGAAGTTGGAAAAAAGATCGAATATATGTATCACCCCGATGGTATGACGGCCGAAGAATTAGCTCAACATTACCAATTATTATGGGTGGTTCGAAAAGAAATGCGACAAATTAACAATGCACAACTTATCTAATACCTATCACATCTACTGTATTTATTCGATTTATCAATCCCACCTTCTCGTGACTCTATCACTCGAAGCCAGAAAAGTGGATGCAGAATGTGTTACAAACAGTAAATAACGACACATATCTTTTTCCTTTGATTTTTCATATCAACATGTTTTATGAGACACAAAAATCCCTAGTGATGAGTAGACCCGAAGGGTCATTGCTTTGCAATAATAGATCACGCTTGTTATTATACTTAAATTTCACATCAGCTGGAGACGATCAGCTTCTTAATAGAAGTGGCTAATAAGATGTATATTATATTATTGTATTAATAAATAACGAAAAAATAATTATTATCTTATCATCCTCTACTCATTAGAAAGATCAAGAGGTTGGTCCCATCCCTTGTGAAGATATAGAGGATCTTCTTTTGCTCTAGTTAAATTGATAACAATAAATTTCCTACCTTGCAAATTTTTATCAAGTATATCAACAACATCGCCATTTTTTTGTATATCATCAGGCAACAATGCCAGGTTGATAAAGAATTATTAGAATATAATTGAGATCAAATATTTGATAGATATTACAATGAATTCAAAGATCAAAAGGCAAGTCATATCAAGTGGAAAAATAGAGATCACAATTCATGGCAATTAATTTTAAATTTATAAGCCCAAATTTTATTACTATAGAATAATCCACTTATAAATCTGAATATGGCAGCTGCTGATAAACAACATATTTATCAAACTATTCAAACAAGTCTTATCTATATTCTATTATATATTGGACAAGAACCATCAGATGATTATTGTAATAGAATTGAAACAGCTATCAGCTATACTGATACAATGATTGCTGATACTAATGATACAAATGCCAATACTTTTACTGACACATATAAGGCAAATATTTATAAATCAAAAATGGCAAGAAAATATTTACCAGTTTTACTTTAACATGCAAGAAATAATATTGATATTCCAGCTTACTTTCAAGTATGACTTGGAGATACCTATCTATAAAGAACAGTTGATACTATATATATGGTAAAATTATTGAATTGAGTTAAACACAATTAAAAATTAAGAATTTAGTAATTGAGTCAAATGGTTTTTTTATAGTTAATACAATTGATGCAATTATAATACAATATTATAATTATACTGCAATATTACAATTATATGATTTTGATACAATTATGTTACAATTATATAATTTGACATAATTATTTTAATATAATACAATTATTTTAATATAATACAATTATATAATTTTGTTATAATTATTTTTAATTATAATGCAATTATGTAATTTGTTACAATTATATTATAATGTTACAATTGTGATGCAATGCCACAACTGTAACACAATACTGCAATTGTAATACAATGTCATAATTGTAATGCAATTTTTGATTGGTTAATAAATTTAATCTATAAAAATTATATATATATATATTATATTTTTAATTGTTTACAATTGATATCTCTATAATTAGTAATTCAATTTGAACAAAAATTTTATTATTAAAAAGTTCTTAATAAAAGGAATTTAATGATAAAATTTTTGTTTAAATTGGACCACTTGTTATAGAAATATCAATTATAAATAATTAAAAATATAAGATATTATATATATATATATATTTTCTCTAATCAAACTGCTATTAACGTGTTTATTAATTCAATTCTAAACAATAATAATATAATATACAATATGATACTATACTAAAGCTAAATGGTCTATCATAGCAGAACACCCATTAACAAGTTGCAGATTTGTATGTGATCCTTAAATTCTTAATACCAAGACCATCGTGTTGCCCACATGATATAATTATTTATTAACTATTTCATTACAAGGGAGTAAATTTATTAAGCTATTACTGCATGGTACTAACTATCTTAGACTTTCCAAATCCTAACTCTCTAGATATGATTGTGGGAAATGATAAAATTGCTCCTTTCTGAAGTTGGATACTTTTAATCTTTACTTCAAAAGATTAATACCAGCCTACATTCAGACTGTCACTTCAGCACAATCTTGTTATCCTAAAAAAAAAAAATTTTTATTTTTCTAAGAAATAAAGGAGAAATAAAAGGGAGGGAAAAGTTTGTACTAGTAAATAAAAATCCATTTAAACCAATCACCAGCCTAATGAAAGCCTTCTTTGATCTTGAGAAGAAAAGAAACCAGCCCAAGAGGGGAGGAGAAAGACTTCAAACCACTTCTTATCAAAAGGACATCTCAACGCCTTGCTCTTTTGCCATTATCCAATTACATCATCAGTTATAGTGTGGTACGACATAGAATACATGGGAGTACGTGTTTTATTTATTTTTTTTTTACGTGTCGATCAACCGTCCCAAAATTTTAGCCAATCACCAACCAGAAATTTTGATGTAACAAAAAATTCAGGGTCAAACTGA